TTAGAATTAGGACTTAATTTAGATTAAATTTTTCTTTTCATAATAAAAAACCAAAAAAAGCTTAGAATTTATTTTCTTAATTTCAATTTTTTTAATTAGACTTTAGAATTAAGTTAATTATTTTCTTAAAATAAAAACAAACACAAAAAGATTTCTTATTGCCTTAGGTTTTTCGATGCATTTTCTAATCTTTCGCGTGTTATTATTTTCTCGCATTTTTCTATATTATTGTGAATGCTTTCTGGATGTAATAGACTACGATTAGGCTTTATTTTTTGCTCTTGATTTTTGTACTCCCAATTTTGTACATTGTAAATACCCCCATCCCCGAAGCCATGTAATAGTCTAGACTTTTACTTTCCACAATTTATTTTCTGTAGAATATTAACTGCTAGTAACTAGGCGTGTATGACAAGACTAAAAAACAACGCTAGCAAACCTAACTTGCAAAGATAAATGAACTGAAATCAATCAATTGCACATAAGCACCTCTAGGGTATCCCACTAGTTGTCTTCGGAAAATGGTCACAATTCTCGAAACGTGGGAATTTTTAGTGGTTGTCCTCTAGTTCAAAAGATCACAAGTCCCTCGATGACCCCTTTCGATGTTGCCTTGGTTAAATGTGATCTTAAGACTTCAGGACAATTACTAAAATTTCTTGCCAAGTTGTCTTCGTGACCGTAATGTCCCTTTCGATTGTCCCTCAAACATCCAATGACAAGGCTACCTAGAGGTGCTTGTAATATGGTGAACATTTTTCATAAGAAAAAAATTGAAGAAAGAGGATATGAAGTGTGTTGAGTGGTAGATTGAGGCATAGTTGAATTTTGTGATTTTTAAGAATGTGATAGTAGTGATAATCTGCCAAGTAGTTGGGAGGATTAGAGATTCGAGTAGACTATCTAAGAGGAGGAGGATAAGGTTCAACTATGACAAGAGGATCACTGTGACCATTAGGTATATGAGGTATATTGGAGAGGGATTCATTGGATAAAGGTGAGTAATCAGAAAGGTCATTTAAAAAGGGTGAACCTTGATTGTGTAAAGGTGTGCTAGTGATAGAAGTAGGACTATTGAAAGAAGACTCGACAACAGGGGAGGAAGGTGCAAAAATAGTAGTACCGATTCTTGGCCTAGGACTGCATGAACTATTTATAGGAATATCACTAGTAGTAGGATTAGTACGAGCAGGCTGCTGAGAAGAACCAGTGGATAAAGGGTTGCGGTCAAGAGGATTAAAAAGATTATCAGAGGTGGGGGACTGATGAACAATAGCAGGGTCATCATAAATGGGAGGTGAAGAAAATGTATGCTTATCAGTAGAAGATGACTGAGTAGGTTTGAAGGGAAAATTATGTTCATAGAAAATCATATTTCTAGATACAAAGATATTATGATGTGTAAGATCATATAATATGTATCCTTTGGTTCCATCCTTAAAGCCAAGAAAAACAACTTTTCTAGCACTAGGATCAAACTTGGTCCTATGTGACTGAATGGTAGCAGCAAAACTTAAGCAACCAAAAACTTTTAAATGAATTATGGAAGGTGGTTGATTGTACAACAGTTCATAAGGACATTTGAGATTTAAAAGAGGAGTAGGAAATCTATTAATGATGTGTATGGCATGATGTACACAAAAATTGCACATGTTTAGAGGGATATTGGATTGAAAAAATAATGACCTAGCTACATTTAAAATACGACGGTGCTTTCTTTCAACCACCCCCATTTTGTTGGGGTGTTTCAACACATGACTTTTGATGGATAACACCTTTGGGTAAAAGGAAATCAGATAAGGCAAGAAATTATGTACCATTATCTGACCTTAAACATTTAAAAGATGTATGGAAGTGATTTTCTATATATGCCATAAACTGAATTATGCTAAGTGTACCTAGTAAAGTCATCAACTAGAGTAAAAAAATATCGGTGACCTAGTATAGAAATGGTAGAAAAAGGTCCCCACACATCAACATGTAAAATTTCAAAAGGAACATGAGTTTGAGTAACACTATGAAGAAAAGGTAATCTCTTTCGTATACCAAAATGGCAAGAATCACATGGAATGTTATTAATACATTGTGAAGGAATAAAAGGAAACAATTTGGATATGTTTTGTAAACCCGTATCAGAAATATGTCCTAGTGTTAGATGCCAAAGATTACAAGGGAGTTGAGCAAAAGAATGAAAGGCATGAGAATGAATGGGGGAGTCAAGAACATAAAGCCCTATTTAAAGTTTAGTCGTACCAATCATTTCCTTGGAATGATTCTACATAATTTGGCACGAATTACCAGTGAATGAACACAACAATTATTGTTATGCATAAGTTTAGCAATAGAGAGCAGGTTAACATGGAAGCTAGGTATATACAAAACATTATGTAATGTTAAAGCTGATGAGATAGCTACACTACCAGAAATGGAAGCAGCCACATGAGATCCATTGGGTAAACTAACATGAATATGTATAATGGATTTATAGGAAAGAAAAGCATCTAGATCAAAGTCAATATGGTTAGTGGCACCAGTATCAAGGATACAGAGATAAGCACTCTTACCACTTTCAATGTGAGAATGTGGATTGAAGACAAAATGTGAGGCAAAGATGGTTTTTGATTGTTGGAGAAGCTTCAAGATGTTGTGATATTGTTCTTGAGTGAATCCAAAAGAGGACTTGGATGAGATCTCCTTAGAATATTCCTGACCTGTTTCAACAGATGCAACCGATTGAGGAGCAAAATTATTGGATTTACCTTTGCTCTTAAATCTAGGTGGATACCCATGCTTGAGAAATAAAGTCACAATAGTGTGATTAGTTCTTCCACAATGAGTGAAAACATGATTATGACCTCTTTCTCCACCATAACCTTGTGACTTACCTCTGCCATAATTGTTTCCAGTCTTGGTGTTGCCATTGCTTGAAGAAGAATTGAATTGAAAAGCTGCAGAGTCTTCAGTGTTTGTGGCATTAGGCACAACCATGGAGCTAGAACTATTCAATTCTCTTTATTGTTAAATAACAAGAGAAATCCAGTAGTGGACTCATCATCATGATTTGAGACTTAGAATGAGAAAATTTCTCATTCGATCCTTTGAGAAAATGGATTACATAGTCCTGTTCACGATACTTGTGAATCGATGCAAGAGCACTACAAGAGCAATGAATGGCACAAAAACAAGCAATGATAGGACGATAAGTCTCTAATTCATCCCACATAACCTTCGTCTATGTAAAATAATTGGAAACATAAAGTGTACCTTGGCGGAATTTGTACAAACCTCCCTGAATGTCAGAAATTCTGAATATATCACCACAAGAGAAGCAAAATTGTAGATTCTTCCAAACGCCAACAACATTATCAATCCATATAACATACTTAGCAATGGAATCATAAATTGATCGATGAATCCAAGCTAAAACCATCGTGTTGCAGCGAATCCATGGAACGTATAACAGATCAGAAATGGAGGGTTTCGTCAAAGTGAAATCGATGAATCTCTCTTTATTCTTGGAAATCAAAGCAATGTGCATTGATCTTGCCCATGTATGGTAGTTCTTGTCATCAAGTATTGGTGAAACAAGAACGAGATATGAATTTTCATTCAGATACAAGTAAAATGGTTTCGCCGAATTCGTGGAAAAATCGCTAAAAATATGGTAAGCCAATGATGAAGAAAGAGAGAACCGCGAAAAATAAGAACTGATAACAGTGGAACGCAATCGAGCGGAAGTGTATAACAATGACTACCATAGTTGTTTAAGCTTTGATACCATGTTAATGGTGAACAATTCACCTTGGTGATACATTGAGATGTGAAGAAGAATATGCAACAAGAAAGAGTTTGTTACAGAGAACGATTGAACAATAACAAAATTCTCATTAGTATAGTTGAATATGTCACAACTGACTATATATATATATATATATATATATATATATATATATATATATATATATATATATATATATATATATATATATATATATATATATATATATATATATATATATAAAAGCTAGAATTGCGTGGATAATAATAGCTAATGCACTACTTAGGTGGTACTCTATGAGAGACTAGTGCAACTATACAAATAATACATGAGATATAATAGAGTAAACTTTGTAAACTATGCTAACAATGATAAAGATTACATGAGCTTTTGAACCTTCTATAAAATATCCATTTCCTTTAGTGATAAGAGGATATAAGTGTAAAATGAAAATATTATAAAAGTATGTTAATTGTCAGAATACATTTTCTCATATTTGACTACTTTACTTAAAGTGACTTTGAAGATTGTTTCTCCTATAACAAAGCCTCAAGTCCTCAATCTTACAAGTAGGAAAACTCTGGTCAAAACCTCAAGTACATCGGAGCATATGTTAATATAAGTGTCAGTTTTCTCTCATAGATAAAAAAAATTCATAACACATATTTTTTCACATATACTCCGATTCGCATAAATATATGAAACATTACTTCCTTAATAAAGTCATGTTAACATTTAAAGTCGGAAAGCTAGCTTCCTAGAAAAACCACAACCACATGTTTCCAAAATATATCCCATAAATTAGTGTTTTGAATTAAGCTCAAATAGTTAGAGGTGCATGGCATGAATTGAGAAAAGCCGCCAATGGTATCCAACATTAAGAAAACAAAGATAGGGAGTGGTAAGTTTAGTGCATACCATTGTATGGTTTTGAAAATTGAGAATTGTGGGACATAAAAAATGGAGATACCATGAAGGTGGGCATGTTTTGATAAAAAAAAGGGCACGTGATATTAACAAGTTGTGATAAAGAATTGTACAAGTGGAGTGTGAGACAGCGCATCTAATGTCTAATATCTTGTTTTTGTGCTTATGATATTTTAAAAACAGTCCTTAACCTCATCCCAACCAACAACAACTTGCTTCTTTTATTTAATCATTCCGTCTTCTTTTTTCATAGTCTTCTCTCGCACGCAGATTCACATTATTCAACTCTATCATCATGTATCGTCCTCCTTCTTCTTCTGGTTCAACTTCTTCCTCCTCTTCTCAGCAACAACAAAGCTCCATAAGCCAGACAGGTCTCACAAGATACGGTTCTGCACCCGGTTCTCTCCTCACCAGCACGGTTGATGCTGTCTTAGGAGATTCGCGCCTTCTCCCGGGGACTGGACATTATTTCTCCGGTGACTCCAATCACCAGCAACAACAGCAACAGCAGCAGCAGCAACAACATCAGCAAAGATCTTCTTACGAAGGCTTTGACGGATCATCTTTGGTCCGTCAGAAAAGCTCTCCCGCCGGTTTCCTCAACCATCTCGCCACTCTCAATCATAATAATAGCGGTATTTCTTTTTTTTTCTTTCTTCTAATTACTATCATTTTATGCAATTAGTCAACGAGATTTGATTAAATTAGAATTAGATAGATCTCATAGAATATTTTCAATTTTCAATTTCATCATGAGTCGTGAAATTGAAAAACACTATGTAATAATTGCAGCGGGGTTCACAATCACCCTAGGCGGAAATGGAGGATCAAGATTGAAGTCTGAATTGAGCTTTACTGGAGGAGGACAAGGACAAGAATGTCTTTCCAGAATTTCCGAAAACGGCGTTGATTATGCTGCAGGAAATGGATCATTGCATAGTAGCAACTGGGGTGTAGGACCTGATAATAACAATAATAATAATAATAATAATAACAACCATAGCAATTCGAATTCTATAGTGTTTTCTTCTTCTGCTTCTCAAAATCAAACTAATAATAAGCGTAGAAACGACGACGATCCTGATCTTCTTCTTCATTGCCTCAACGCCCTCGAAACTCAGGTAGTACTAGTAGTGCTCTCTTTTTTCACAGTTGATCATGTTCTTCATCCATCATATTGATTCTTTCAATGTTTCTACTTTGATCTAATTCAGTATAGTCTTCCTCAAACTTCTATGGAGATGGACAAGCTTATGCATATTCCACAAGATTCCGTCCCTTGTAAAATCCGCGCCAAACGTGGCTGTGCCACGCATCCCCGAAGCATTGCCGAACGGGTAATTACTCTATTCTTCCATTTTTCTTTCTGTTTCTATTTCAAATACTAACTCTGTTGCATTGCATGTATGTAGGAGAGAAGAACTAGAATAAGTGGAAAATTGAAGAAATTGCAGGATCTTGTGCCTAATATGGATAAGGTGTTATTGCTTTCTTAAACTTGCTTCCTAACTTTCCTTACCTATTAGTATTACTTTCATACTTATGTTTCATTAATTAATATAATCAATATTACAACAAGCTGCGCTGCTGCCCCTTTTTAAATGACAAAACCAATCCTCTTAAAAACTATTTTCGTCCATCTCATTATAAGCATTGTTTAAGATAATTCATACATAATATCGTCAAACGAACCGGTGTTTAACTGTGTACATTATAGGTTGCTTAATGTTGTTTCAAAATGTCACTGTAGCAAACAAGTTATTCAGACATGCTAGATTTGGCAGTTCAACACATCAAAGGTCTTCAAACTCAAGTTCAGGTGTGTAAAAAGAGGTTCATATGAATCAAGTAGTAATGCTTAGTACAATAATGCTGTCTCTGTTGATCTTGATTACATTATCTTTTCACCCTTTTTCAGAAACTTCACGAAGATCTTGAGAGTTGCACTTGCGGATGCAAACAAAGTACATAAACTTACTATGTTTTATGAGATTCTATGGCACTGCATAGAAGTCAAGGTTTTGATGGAAACTGATTTTTGTACCTTCCAACTTTAAAAACGAATAATGAAGGAAATTGTACATACAATGTATGTTATAATCTACTTGTGGTAGACATAGTCTAGAAATATCTATTCCTTTTCTTAATTTGATAGTTGTATTTGAAAGTAGAAGTTGATTTTCTGTTGAATTGGCTTTGTTGTTTAAGTGAAATCATCTACTTTATTTATTTATTTTTTAAAAATCATTCCAAACTCCATTGACAACAGGTTTCACCATGTAAAATAGAAGCCCACATTTCATAGATCTTCTTGTCTTTAATGTTTTTACTTGTGGTATGGAGACTTTGTCAGCGAAATATTAAATAAGAGGTCTTGAATATGTGAGTAATTTTATAAAGATGTTATTTTTATTAACTAAATCATTATTTTTCTTAATATCCGTATAACAAACTTAAACGACTATTATTTTGAGACGGAGGGAGTAAATGACTCGATAATAGCCTTTGATATCACATGTGCCTTAAATCGGGTCCATCGGTTTTTTTAACAAGACGCGACACACTAATTCGTCAAACAACGTTTCAACTTTCCGACCGATATTTAAGGAGAACGAATCGTCTCCGGCCTTTAATAATCAGCCATTCATCATGCCTTAAATTGATGGTTGAGAAAATAAGTAAATACAATTAAATAAAAAAGATTAAAAAAAACTATCATGAATCCAACAACTTTAGTTAGTGCTACACAAACAGCAAGAGAGAAAGGGAGAAGAGTTTGAGGCTAGAGAATAAGGAATTACAGGAACATAAGAAACATAAATGAAGTTGGTGAATGCAAATTTGATGTATATGGAAACCAAGTCACTACTATAAAACAAGTTTTTTTTAAACTAGGTTGAAACATAACTTTAACTTCGGTTTGGTGGGCGAGGTAACAAAGGGTATAATAGAAAGTTTTCCCTTTTTTTTCCGGTTGGTTTTTCTATCGAGGTGAAATCAACAACTTCATCAAGGTGAAATCAAAACTACAAAAATATTCTCTAGGATGGATCGCAAGAGCAGAGAAACATTTTGATCATGGATAGTTCCTTAATGTAATCTCTTCTCTTGCAATGCTTTCGTTATCATTGTGTGTTTTCATTATCATTGGTGTTTAAATTTATTCATTATGAATTTCAAGATAAATGGTTGTGGTATTTACATTCTAATGTATTGGTTGGTGTGGGTTTCACGCGGATCGCAGATGTTCTATGTAGAGTGAAGAGTTGACAATATTTTGACCGTTGTTACTTTATAAATACACGACAAAGATACATTGGTTATATAAACAACACACATATTTCCCCTCTCGGTTTTTAGTCCAATCGAAGGAATAAGTATTAATTAAAAAATAAAATACGCTAAAATGACGTTGTAGAGATTCAAATGGGGTTGATCATACCTTTCCTCTCAGTTGCCAACATAACCTTTTCCATCGGTTCCTAGCACAACTGAGTGAATATGTAGTATTTTTTTTAAAAATAAATTGAAATGTGATGTGTATGGTTAACACCTCAGTTGGTAAAATTTTTTATCATAAAATGTATTATTTGTTATAGTGAATATTTTGAGACCAAAATAGCCCTCGAGAAGTCAAAGGGAGAGAAAAAGGAAAAAGGTTAAAACTATAAAAAGACTGAATGGAGAAGTAAAAGGTTTGGAGTTGCAAGCTAAATCCTCTATCACTATCATTAATAACTTGGAGATAAAGTTGATGAAGCAAGTAAATTTATTGGAGAAGGTGAGAATAAAAGTCACTTTTTTATATAATAGAGGTTCAACAAAGTAAAGAAAATCCAAGTTGAACATTTGTACCCTAAACTCTTCTTGGACGAGGTTGAGTTTTTCAAGATGGGGATCGATGGGAAATTTATAGGTGAAATTACCTCGCTAGATGTGGACATCTAGAGCAAGAGTGTTAAGATAAGTCAAAGATATTTTAGCTAAATTAAGTAGGAAAATATTTGTGTTGTAAATAATTTATTTCATTCCCTTAATAGAAGAGGAATTATAGAGACTCTTTTGTGTATATATAGTACCTTGATCAATGAATAAAATCATCAGAATTATTACTTTGAAATGTTCTATATGGTATCTAGAGCCAACACCGTCTCTCTTTCAATATAGGAACTGTGGTTTTTTTATTTCTTAGTAATTTCTGATGGCTTCTGATAAAAACAAACCAGAGAATTCTAAAACTTCCGCTGCTGTCCAATTCAACGATGCACTCACCCCAAAACGGCTTGACGGCACTAACTACGTCGAATGGTCATTGAATGCACATAACAAAATCAGAGGCAGAAAACGACGGGGTTACGTTACCGGAACAAAGACTGCACCAGCAAAAGATAAACCCGATGAATATGAAGCATGGGAAGATGAAAATTGCTTGGTCAAGTCTTGGCTTCTTGACTCCATGACCAAAGAAATCAGATCTCTTTTCATTCGCTTAGCTACGGCGAAGGAAATTTGGGAAACTGCGAAACAAACGTACTCCGTCGACCAAGGTGCATCAAGAGCTTATCAATTGCATCGTGAGGTAATCTCTACTCAACAAAATGGTGGATCTGTTATTACATACTTTGGAAAATTGCAGAGGCTATGGCAAGAGTATGATAGTATTAATAATTGTACCATGGAATGCACTAAAGATGTTGAGAAATACAATAAGATGGTTAATTCTCAACGAGTTTATGTTTTATTGGCTGGTTTGGATTCACATTTGGATGGAGTTCGTGGTCGTGTTTTGGCTACCACTTCGCTTCCTAATGTTCAATCAGTCTATGCAATTGTACGTGCAGAGGCGAATCGCCAAGAAGCTATGTTAAGCGGTGAGTCTTCGAATGGTTCCGCCTTAGCTGTCAAGAAGTATCCGAAGAAAGAAATCCGCAAGTGTAATCACTGTAATGGAGATAATCATGTCATGGAGACATGTCTTAAGCTCCATGGCTACCCGGAGTGGCATCCAAAGGGAAAAACTACTTCGAATAATAAGACAGAAAACAACAAGGCTCATCTTTCTACTGCTGCCGGCTTCGTAACCAAGTCAGGTATGTCTAACTCTGCTCATAATCCTTCTGTTATTATTAGAAATAGCGATTGGATAATCGATACAGGTGCTACTGATCATATGACTTGTGATCAACACATGTTTACTAATTTCTCTCCTAATTGTCATAAAACTGTTATTATTACTGCTAATGGAGTGAAATCTCCCATTGAAAGTGTTGGTACGGTGACTCTATCACCCTCCCTATCAATACCTAATGTCTTATTTGTTCCTACCTTGAATTGCAATCTTATCTATGTCAGTAAATTAACAAAATCACATTCATGTGTCGCTGTGTTTTATCCAACCCACTGTGTTTTTCAGGATATACATACCAAGGAGAAGATTGGCAGTGGTAGATATAGTGAAGGGTTGTATTATCTTGAAAAAGTTTCACAAATCCATAAAGGAGCATTGTTTCATCTTGCAAGTGATCACATACAAGATCAAAATAAAAAAAATATTTGGCTATGGCATAGACGATTGGGGCATCCCTCTTTTAGTTATCTAAAAAATTTGTTTCCATCGTTATTTCATAAATGCAATATTTCAGATTTTCTTTGTGAAACTTGTGTTATGGCAAAAAGTCATCGTGCTATTTTTCCCTTGAGTAATAAGAAAACAGACTTTCCTTTCTCTTTAGTACACACTGGTGTTTGGGGTCCTACTCCACAATCTACACATAATGGGAAAAAATGGTTTATTAGTTTTGTTGATGATTGTACACGAGTAACCTGGGTATATTTGCTACAACATAAAAGTGACGTGTATGATGTGCTTCGCTCCTTTCATCAAATGATAGTAACACAATTTAACACATGTATTAAGGTAATTAGATCAAACAATGGAGGGGAATATTTTGAGAAAAATTAAAAGAGTTTTTGAACTCTAAGGGCATTTTGCATCAAACAACATGTCCTTATTCCCCCCAACAAAATGGGGTGGCCGAGAGGAAAAATAGACACATATTAGAAGTTACTAGATGTTGTACCCCAAAATTTGTCCTCCCATATTTCTCAAAACATTGCAGGAAAAATCTCCAAGTTGCTCAAGATTGCTCAAGAGTTGGACAGTTAAGCTATCTCCTAAGGCAATAAACCTCAAATTAGGGTTTTGTGTTGCATCAAGGTCCTTGCATCCAAATGACTTCAAGTGTTACCCAATGTCCTAATATGTTCTCAAGATCATCCATGTCAAATTCCAAGCCTTGCAGAGGAAGTTTGCTCAGTCAATTGCTCAAAGGGTCCCAAAATCGACATGCTAGGGCAAAAGTCAACTGTGACCCAAATACAGTCAAACTTCAAGATTTTTTGTAAACATTATCATTTTGAAGTATATTTTATCATTTGATCAAGGGTTGATCATGATTCATCAAGGATTGCTCAAAATTCATCAAGACTCAAAAGTTGCTAAATTAGGGTTTTGTAGGAAAAGTCAACTCAACTTTGACCAAGAATAACTTTCTCATACTTTATGAGAAATGACCCATCCAAAGCTCATTTTGAAGAGGATTCAATTTCCTACAATCCATCTTCATACCCAAAGATCAATAAATGCACTCACAAGAAGTTATAAATTTGGACATTATAGGTCATTTTTGAAAGTAAAAAAAAACACCTTTTTTGCCAAAGCTTATAACTTGAGCGTGGAATATCAAAATGAGATGAGACAAAAAGTGTTGATTATAGGACATCTCAAGATTTCTAAAAAGTCCAAGAACACTTCCAAAAGTTCAAAATTGAAGAAGTTATGCATTGTTGAAGTTGAGCATTTTTGCAAAATTGCTAAAAGTCAACTATCCCCAAAACTTCAAGTTTTGTCAAAGGGGCCCATTCTTTTCCACTTGATTTGATCTTTTCACACTACACACGTGTCCTAGCCTC